AGAGAGAGACAGAAGAGAGGAAAGGGAAGGGAGGGAAGAGGAAAGGAGAGGACTGAAGCTAAAGCAGTAAAAGTACTAATGATAAAGATGCACACTGATTCTGCTTTTTTTTTTAAAAAAAAAAAATCAATCCTTATTTGGATTTAGTATGTAGGAGGCATTACTTTTAAGTGATTTACACAAGTTGTGTCATTCTTCACAGTAGCTACTCCAAATTAGATACTTCTTTTATCTTCATTTTGGAAGACAAAAACAAAAGCACTAAAGAGCTAGATATTATCAGACCAATGCGCTTAAATATCACATTGTTTTTCTCATACGAGAAAACCTAAACAAAAAGAAGGAATAAAAAAGTTAACAGAAACAGGGAGGTAGGTCTTGCAGAAAGGAAAAAGGGACCCAGGAATGCCTGATGGGGAAAAGGAGAGGAGAAAGAGATGGAAAAAGAATTATGATATGTTTAGTATTCCAACTCCCAGGAATAGATGCATTCTTTATGTACCACAAACATGTACTAATAAAAATAAACATTTTAAAGGATAAAATAACTAGATAATCCTTCACTGAAGGATTGACTTGAGGGAGGTCAAATTTTAAAGGATGAAATAACTAGATAGGTAGGACATTTAAGCAGTGGAATTGGACCCAGGTACTATGACTGATTATTCACTTTGATTTACTATATAATCTCTGTTATAATTAAATGCTAACATAATAGCTATATTTAGTACCTCAAATGTGTAAATATATTAATATATAGGTTCAACATATATATTAGGTTAGCATATTGTTAACCTAATATTCCAGGAACTGAAGATAGAGTAGCAAACTGTGATGGTTTGTGACTAGTTGTCCCCCCAAAGCCTCGTGCAGGCACGGGGCAGACTTCTAGACTTCGCAATTAATTCATGATCCGGCGCTGGGATTATGGGAGTGAGTGCTTGGGCCAGAGAGCCTGAATGTGGCACACGGGACACAGACTTGCTCTCTGTAGCCATTCCTGCCGCTACTCCTCCTACTTGTTCTTGCTCTTTTCCACCACCATGAATGGCTGCTCTCTGCCATGTGCCACTCTGCCGTGGATCCTGCTGAGTACGGCGTGAAACCTCCACTAACTGAACTGTGAGCTAAATAAACTTTTCCTTCCTTCATTCTAGGTGTCAGGTATTTTGTCTCAGCAATGAGAGAAAAGTAAGCAAGACAAAACAAACAAAATCTTTGTCTTTACAGCATTTGCATTTTCAGGAAGAGATCCAAGAAATTAAAAGCGCACAGGAAAATGCACAGCTTTTGGGACTGTGACTGCTGTAAAGCCACACAGGTCAGAGTTTCTTTCTTTCTTTCTTTCTTTCTTTCTTTCTTTCTTTCTTTCTTTCTTTC